TTGCTCTTCCTCACTCTGTCCTTATGCAGTCCTTTTTGTCCCTAATGGCTCCTATGCACCAAGGTCCTTTCCCTTCTGCCAGCTGGTCTTTGCACATGTTTCTCCCTCTGCCTGGAATATCCTGCACCCCAACCCCCTTTATATCTGGCTAATATTTATTCATCTTTCCCATTTCCACTTATGTCACTTCCACAGGAAGCTGTCCCTAAAGACCCAGGACAGTTCAAGTCCCCTTGTTAATGCACTTACGTAACTAACTTAATGACTCTAATCACCACTCGATTTCCCTTTGCTAATTTCTGTTGCTTGTAGCAATTACAGACTAGCAATTAGACAATCGTGCCTAAAGTTCTGCTCGGGACAGCCCTGGGAAAATCAGAATGTGTTGGTTACTCTAATGTGCACTCAAAATTGTGCTGAAAAATGAAATTTAAGGATTAATGTCCTTTTGTTCAGTGTGCTGTGTTTGTCACCAAAGCTTAATTATTAAGATCTTAAAACTGTCTCTTTTTTCTTCAAATTTAACAGATGAAATATTTTACTCCTAAAGTTAATTGCTTTTGTGTCACTTTCATAAATTTCCCTAACTGGGCTTTCAGTTTCCCAGCTGGTAAAATTCATTACAAAGTAACTTTTAAAACAAAATCTAGTATTTTTTGAAGAAAGGAGTTCAGCCATTTACTCAATCACCTTGAGGAAAAAACTCAATATATTCTCCCATCTATAGATCTAATAATTTCAAATTCACAGGATTATGATAGCAATCACATACAATCACATATGTAAAACACCTAAAGTAGTATTTGCCGTAGGGTAGATGCTCACTATATTTATATTTCCCTCTTCAGTCAGGAAGTTCCCAACTAGAGGAGGGAAACGTACCCCTCCCGTTATTGGGGTCATTTCTGAGAGCCGTGGCTTCACTTAAGTGGAGAGGAGTATTTCTCTTAATTACCTGCTATTAACCTGAAACCTTTGTGATTTGCAAAGAAGTTATTGTATGTCACTTCTCAGACGGTATTTTACATAAAATCAATTTTTGTGTTCTTTCAGACGTATATAAAGTGGTTTCGTGATTTTTGGTGACTTTATTAGTAGATGCTCAGCATTCACCTAAGACAGTATAAGCACTGTGGGGCAGGCAGAAGGCCACGTGCCAGCTGCAGAGAGAGCAAGCCCTTCTCTGTTTCAGGTGGAAGCCCGTGCTTTTGTTTCCCAGAGACTTCAAGGGAGGGTTCTGCGGCACTATTTATTTGGTTTATGGTAGCCTCTCAGATGTGTTGCATCTGCTTTGCAGTAAAGGATGTGGGGCTCCCTTCTGGTGACTTGCCGCCTGCCGCAGACAACAGACATATTTGTCCTCCCCAGCTTTGATCTTTTTTGCCTGGTATCTAAATGAAACCTTTCTTGTGCCTTCAAAGCTAAGTGACTTGTTCGGCTTCCAGTTACAAAACAGCTCTGCTCCTGCCACCACTGGGGTTCCCCTATCCTCGCTTCCAGTCTAGTGCCTGCAGTAGGAGGGCTGCAGGGAGCCAAGATGAAGTACAAGGAACATGTAAAACTCAAGTACAGTGTGCAAGAGAGGGAACGGCTGCTTCCTCGGGGGCGTGCGAACCTGGAGAAAAGGGAAGAGGAGAGCATAGGAAAAGTTGGCATTCTTAAAAGAAAGCATACCATTGTGGCTAAACATGAATGCTAGATTCAGACAGCTTGGGCTGTGAACAATTATTAGCTGTGACAAATTCTGCAAGTTGTCAAGCCTCAGTTTTCCTGTTTATTAATGAAGGGTGATGCTAGTACTTATCTATCCCATTGTGAGTATTAGAGGAGAAAATACAAATAAAGTGCTTAATACAGCAGTGGACATTGAACAAGCACTCCGTGAATACTATGGTTTGGTTATTAATAGTAATGATGTTACTTAGTGTACAAATACAGTGGTCTCTCCCATGCCCTCTCTAGGGAGATGGTCCTGATTCATAACGGCCAAATCCAAATGCCTACTTCTGCGCATATTTTCTGATAGCCTTGTTTTCTAGTCCACATGGATGCTGGGTGCTAGAGCTACACAGATAAAAAACACAGTGTCTGCTTTAAAGAGTTAGTTAGTCTCTTTTCTGTTTTTCTAAAGCTCATGATTTATGAATAATTTGAAGACTAAAACAGTCTGAATTGAGTTAGTTATTTGGTTAATTGGCTAGTACATGAGATTGTAAGCTCCTTGAGGTCAGGGCCTTGGTATTACTCATTACTGCCTCTCAGCTCCTGCTACAGATACATGACCATAAAGAGCTGTATCTTACAGTGACTAAGAACTAAGACCACCACTTACTCGCCATGCCGCCTGCAGCATGCTGAAAAAGGGCTCTATTCTCCGGTTTCCTCAGGTAAAATGGGAACAGTCGAACCTGCTGCTTAAATCACCTGTGAAAATGAAACAAGACAACATATATAGTGTACCGGAAACATATTGATTGCTCAGTTAATTGTTGTCAGTATTACAATAACGTAGATGAATGACCCGAGTCATAGGATCCTGGTAACTCCCGTGTCCTTTGACATAGAGAGTTTCCTGCTTTCTTTTATTTTCCTATTTTGCACTATGTTTAACTTATCAATTTCACTATATCTATTTAGAGTGTGCAAATATATCCTCAATAAATAAATAGTGAAGATGGAGGAATTTTGGGGTGTGTTTGTGTGTGTGTGTGAAACCCGAATATATTCATGATTTCTGAATGTCGGGAGGTTCCCCACTCCATTTCGCTGAGTTTAGAAGACACGTAGGACTTCTCAGCAAGTTTTCCTGACTGGTTTTACAGTTCTTTACATTTCGGTTATTGTAATTCCAGAACTTTTGAATCTCTCTCCTCCGAGGTTCTCTTTTCTGAACTCTACTTCTGTAAATGTATGGTGCTATTTCAGGACTGGATTAGGACTCAAAGCAGAGAAACAAATAGAACACATCTTACCTTATCCCTTCTGTTTCATTTCTCCCGACAAATTGGCCCTATGAAGGTTTCCCTTTGAAAAGTGTTAGTTTTTCCTATTCCTCCAGATGTTTTGCGATTTCATCTCGTTAATATCTCAGTGATACCATGTATCAGATTGATAAATATATAGTGTTCTGAATTGTCCCTGATTTCTTTTTAAATACAACTGGGTGACCTATTGTCATTAAATGTGGCTTCTTTGTACTAGATTATTTTTTAGGTATAAAGATTTAAATAAGGCAAAATCCTATTATGTTTGTTTGCGTTATAGACTTTCTTAACTAAATTAGGACAGCTGACAGTGCGGAAGATATTAGAAAGAATAGAAAGATATTAGATAATGTTAGATAACAAAAAGACATTGGAACGATATTAGAGAGAAAGAAAAAGTTAAAATAACTTTCCCTTACTTTCCAAGGCAAAATATGAGCTCAGATTTTCCACATTTGTTTAATAAGTAAGCAAGCATGATATACGTTATATGTCATCATTCCATATATCAGTGATTCGCAAAGTTTTTGTTCAGGATTCTTTTACATTGTCAAAAAAATTTAAAGACATTAAAGATCTTTTGTTTGCACATATTATATTTATTGATATTCATTGTATTCCAAATTTGAAAAGTAGATTTTAAAAATATTATTTATTAATTTATTTTAAATAATAATAAATCCATTATATGTGAACATAAATAATCTATTTTTATCAGTAATAAATATATTTTCAAAAACAAAAAATATTTTTAGCAAAGAGTGGCATTGTTTTTACTTTTTTCCAAATCTCTTTAATTCCTAGCTTAATAGAAGACAGCTGGGTTGTCATATCTGCTTCTACATTCAATCTGTTGCAATGTGTTGTTTTGCTTGAAGTATATGAAAAAAGTCTGGTCCCACACAGATACATAGTTGGAAAAGGGAAGAGTATTTTAACTAGGTAATTAACTGGATAAAAGAGTATTTTAGTTAGATAATTGTGGATGTTCTTTGATACATGGAAATTCTATAGGTGTTATTTTCCTAAAGATTAATTGCAATATGCAAACTGAAACCAGATTAATGAACATTCTGTACTTGATGTCCTCACAGGATGAGAATGGAAAAGCCAAATCACGTCTTAGTAATGTCATAAAAATAGTTTTGTCCTTTTACATCCCATGAAAATGTCCCAAAGATACATATGGGTGCCCAGACCACGCTTTGAATACAACTGCCGTATACTACCATAAATGCTTATAATCTTATCTTGGGACACAAAAACCCAGCTTTGCTGAGAAAATTATGCAAGAAGCTGTTAAGTAGCTTGCCTAACTTTTGCCCAGTTAGCTCGGGATAGAACCAGATTTGAATTTAGTCTTCTGTTTTTATCTCTCTTTTAGGACGTATTCCTTCCAAAAAATGTGAAAGTGAGGAAATACAGAGGCATACAGTATGATTTTTCCCTGGGGACCATAATTCTTGAGAGATAAATTGGGTTTTATAGCTACTGAGCATCAGGTTCTGGAAAGAACTTGGTTGGTCTTTTAGCATTGCTATAAAATCACATTGCGTGAGAAGATTTTCTAGTTCAATGGGAAACAACCCTAGGGTGAAATGTAGGAAAAAACAAAAGGACCAAAGTAGGAATGGGGAAGAAGAGTTTGGGAAAGTCAAAGAAGAGATAATACAGTCCAGAACTAAGGCTCCAAAGATCCCAGGGGAAGACTAATCCTTTCACTCAGGTCAAAGTAAGGCTGCCATTTTCTCCTCTAGGACTCAGAGGAGATGGATGGGGAGGTGACTCAATACCTATCCTTTTGATGACTTCTCTTTGTTCTCTTCTTCCCTGACTAGGCCCTTATTCCAATTTTCTGTTCCAGGCCAATGAAGGAAAAGGGTTCCTTGTGATATTCACCAATACCTTTGTCACTTTGGCACTATAAAAATAAAAATAGCAGAAAAGATAGAAAAAGAATAAAGGAAATCAAAGAAATAAAAAATAAAGTATTGATGTTAGTGTGATGTGTTTCAGATGGTATTGTGATATATGCGGATATGACACCACCAAATTCTGCTTTAAACAGAAGATGGAGAAGGGAGTTCGCATCTATCATATACCTACCACATGCACGGTACCGTGTTCCATGCTGGGGACAAAGCACTAAAAAAGTCAGTTAACACCAAGGGTGTCCCATACCTCTCCCTAGCATAAAACCTGATTCTCTGAGAATGTCTAAGAAATCTTAAACTATTCCCATTAAGCCTATATGAAAACTATAGATTCTTCCAAAATTGGAAAATACCTCTAATGTTGAGAAATTAAACATTTTACCTCTCATGAGCTACATTTTGTCTATTTATTTCTTTTCAAGAAATTATGCAAGGTAAAACAAATAGTTTACAAGGAAAATCTAGGTGGGTTTCTATTTTTTATGTGAGTTTAGCAAACAACATAGGCATGTTGTTATATGAGAAATAAAATTATAAGCTTAAAATAACTACTTAATATTCAGTTTGGTTTACACATTTAGCTTTGGTTAAAATTAAACTTTACTGAATCAACCATATTTAGAAATATTTTCATTAGATATTTTAAAAACGTTTTAATGTAAGGCAGTGATATGTCGAGGGAAGGAGAAAGTCATGTACTGATTGGTCTGAGATTCCAAAGAGCTTTGTGATATTTTTTTTTTTTGAGGAAATTAGCCCTGAGCTATCTGCTGCCAATCCTCCTCTTTTTGCTGAGGAAGACTGGCCCTGAGCTAACATCCATGCCCATCTTCCTCTACTTTATATGTGGGACACCTACCACAGCATGGCGTGCCAAGCGCTGCTGTGTCTGTACCCTGGATCCGAACCGGGGAACCCCGGGAACGTGTGCACTTAACCACTGTGCCACCGGACCGCCCCCCACAATATTCTTCTGTAATGACTAGAAGAAAAAAAGGCTGCCGTAAGTTTTGAACTATTAAATATGTTGTCATTTATACAGCAGCAATCCTTGGTAAAACCTTTTTAAAAATTGTTTAACTTTTTCAACCAGGTAATACTAATGATCAAACCCATCAGTCTTTAAGCTTCCCATCACCTGGAATTACATCTACCTGTCCTGTGTTTTATTCCTAGGGCCTTGCACAGTACCTGGGACATAGTAGTCCCACAATATTTGTTGAATATTTTCAATGAATAAATGTGTAAAAGGGTACTGTCTTTATTACCCATTTTAAAGAAATTTAGACGTTCAAAAATAACTGAGCATAGTTTGGTCTACCTTTACCCCAATTTTTACCATCTGGGTGCCACCTGTAAGTCAGGGGTATGAATGGAGTTATTACGGGGTCAGAGAGGAGAGATCATGGATCAGAGTGAGCCAGGACAGGTACTGCCTGGGGGATCGCTTGTAAAAAACACAGAGCTGAGAAAGAAAGAAGAAAAGCCCTATATAAGACGACTGCTGAATTTGGAAGGAAGAGGGGTAAGAGAAAATGAAGAAGTGAGACATATCTGGAAAAAAATAGCCCGTGAGGTCAGTAGGAAAGGGGGTTGGAAAAATTAATTAATTGAGCAGTTAGCAAAATATAAATCTATGTATATTGACCATGTGGTGTGCTATTTCTTTTACATAAAAGTGTCTACATCTCCTAAGAAATGGAAGAACTCCCAGTCACAACGAGCCAGACCAGATTCCCGCAGTCATTCTGTTTAATGCTTCGATGGAGGAGAATATTTCTGAGAGCAAAATACTACCTTCTCCCTGCCTCTGGGACTAAGGAAATAAGAATGGTGTTATTTCTCTAACCACAATCATCTTTTCCTCACCCTTAGTGGATCTATGGAAGCTACTGCTTGGGAGACTCATCTGTATTAAAAAGAGCAAGCTTATGCATTGAAACCCAGAATGTCTTACACCATCAGCTGACTCACCAACCTAGTTCTCTCCTCCATTCAGAGGATAGAATCCATTTAACACCATCTCATTTAAACGTAACCCTATTCTTTCCCCCACTTCCTAAGACTATAACATCTGAATTGAGAAGTATGTAAGGCTCACCTCCTTCACAAAAAGACATTTGTAATATAAATGAATGAATCAATCAAGGCATGAATGAATAATGAATTCTTTTCAAAGTTAGGGCAAGACTTGAAAAAGGTGACAAGTTATTTCAACATCTATATTCCTTGTCTCTACATATGAAGATGTGCTGTAGCGTCAAGAGTGACTATAATGACATAAGTAAGGGAAAATAAAGCAGAAAAAATTGGCAAGCTTTATTAGGGCATATTTGTTAGAGCAAGTGGTGAAGACAGAGTGCCCAGATTAAAATACTCGCTCTGCCACTGCCAAGTCATGGGAACTTGTTAGATAGAGACAACAGGAGTTCCTCACCTTAGCAGGTTTGGGGAGGATTAAGTATGTTAGAGCAATAGCTGACACACAGTGTTTGCTAATTTGTTAAGCATTGTGAGAGATAAAAGAATATAAGACTCAGCCTCTATTTTCTAGTAGAAAATAAGATACTTGCAAAGGTAAGACACCTGAGCTCAGAAACAGAGTTAACTATGTCTGAAGGTGCTCTGATAAAAACGAAGCCCAGTGCTGTTCAGTGCTCGTGCTTAGGGTGTACTTGCGTGTTCTAACACGGTCTCTTTATTGGCTCTTTAATTTATTTTTATTTTGAAGTTTTCAGGTTCAACAGTGACCATTTCCTCTGTCACATGTCACATGTTCATGCTACCTCAGGGTCTGCCATGCTATTCAATCATGACTTGATCTCAGGCAAAATCGTTGACTCTTCTTATTGTCAGCGGGATTCAGGCAAGATACACACAGGAAGACCAGTTAGATCTGCCTTCAGCAAGAGGGCTTAGCTGGCATTCACATGAGACACCCAGAAAGAGAAGCAACTATCCTCCTTTAGTGCCACAGTTTTAACAGACGTGAACCACTAAGTTAGGTTTAGAAATGATTTGCTTTGCAAGAGCTGTGGTTCCAGCACCCTTACCTCTAAGAAATAGACCACGGCATTCCAAAGCTGTGCTGGAAACTCATCTGTCCCCTCTGGGATCTGAGTTGAGGCTGGAGATGCAGGGGAATTTCTGGTAGAGGGCAGAATACCTCTGTCAATCCTGACTGTGTCAATCTTGTCTTTGTCCTTAAACCACGTTTCTCAACCTACCAGAACAGCAGGAAATGTGCTCATTTCAAGGTCTGGATCATTTCAACTCTGAATTAGAGGATTGGCATTCCTCTTGTGGATTTCAAAACAAACACACACACACACACACACACACACGTCTCTAATATAGGCTTGGTTAAGACTTTTAAATGACATGTTCCTCTCTCTCCATCTCCTGTATCTCCCTCCCGCCACCCCCAATCCCTTTTTGCCTTCTATTTGTTTACAAGCTTTGCATTTCAAGCCACTGAAGAACTCAGGTCTTTTTTACTTGAAACGTGACTTTCCATTCAGGAAGCAAATTTGTAGGAGCAGAAAGGACTAAATAGCTTCATGTCCCAATGATTCAAGGAACTGGCACTCAGGCGATCCCTCGCATTATTCTCTGAATGCCATGACCTATATGTCAGTGAGAGGACGTTTGGGGATGTTTCTTGTCTTTGAAAAGCAATGCTCCAGGGACAAAGAGGTTCTTTTACTGGGCAGCAATGACGGCCACGAGGTGGGAGCCATAAACCAGGCAAGCCTGGGCAGTGTGCATGCTGACATTTTTCATTCCTAATATCCCACAAGTATTTCAGTTTCAACAGAGCCTCTGTGCAGATGAAAAGGAACTTTTTTGTTTCTCGATTTTGTTATATTATGTTTGAAAATTCCTACCAGCCTCCCAATTACCAATTTGAAGATAAACTGGCAAAATTATTTTTTACCACCTCTCTATCCTCCATTTTACAAGCAAAAAGAAACACTAACATTGGTGGTGTTTCCTCCCGGTAAACGAAATCTATACTGCTTTCTTCCCCAGACTGTCTCACCTTTTTGCCTGTGGGGCTTGGAAATCCCAGAAGCTATTGTTCAGCCTGGCCTGCCCACAGCCCAGCCCTCAGTGATGTGCAAGTAAGCAGATTAGATCCCAGACATTAAAATTTTCAAAAATAATAAAAAGCACGGCCAACTTTTGTAAACATGAGTGACCTATTCCAAAAGAAAAGAACATTTTGCACAAAGACAGATTGAGACGTGTTGGGGGCAAAACTGCCCAAGTCAGCAGGGGATGGATTTATACACTGCAAATTACTTCAAGAAGCAGCTACAATGCATTTTTTTTTTTTTTTTGAATGGGAGAGGAGTACAGGATTACTTCATATCTTTGATAAACTCGCTGCTTGTTTTTGTTATTGGTTGGCTTATTTTTCGATCTAGCAATAGTTTGCAAAACTTTTGCCCCCTTTGCTGGCCCTCTCCCCGGAAGCACTCAACCTATCTTCTTTGGTGGAAAACCCCATTCAGAGCCCCCCCTTGCCCTCTCTTTCCTTCCTTCCTTCCTTCCGTCCTTCCTTTCTACTTTTCTTCTTTCCTTCCTTCCTTCTTCTCCTCTTCAAACATCTTTTGAATACGTGCTATGTGACAGACACTGGGCTCAATTCAAAGGAACAAAACCATTAAAAAGGACGACACAGTCCCTTCCCGTGTAGTTTACAGGCTGATTGGGAAGGGATATAAAATAGATAATTATGTGCATAAATCCACCAGTGTACCTGCTATGAAAGCAAAGTCTAGGGAATTATGGGAGCATGGAGTGAAGACAATCTCATCATAGGTGTCCGAGAATTTTCCCTGAGGAATGGCATTTAAGATGATACATGAAGGGTGAGAAAGTGCAATGAAGTATCAAAGAATTTACTAAAGAAGTCTGTTTAGGATGCTGTAAGGTGCAAAAGAAGATGAGTAAATTCTACCTTGGAGAAGAAGAGAGGTATGGAGCTTACTAGAAGACGTTATATTTGAGCTGAATATTGAAAGTACCTGAAATAAAAGTAAATTCAATCTCACCAGAAAATAATAGTCACTTGCATTCAACAGATGCACTTACCTTTACTGTACTTAAGATTGTCTTGAGTTCTCTGTCTAATCCTATAGATTTTTCTTGGTTTTCACCAGTTAGTACCTCTTTCTTTACTTTGTGAACTTAAAGTACATGGAACAAGTCACAACCAAAGTCATTCCCTTTTTATATTCACTTTAATAACTCACAGTAATCCCAACTATGTTTAAAAAATATCAAAAGGGGATAGTGATAACAACAGTTATCAGTGAGCATAGAATTATGGATGAATTTTTCCTTTTTTTAGTTTGTTCCTATATTTTTCAAATACATATTCTTTTTTTTTAACCAAAAGTCTATATATTTCCATCTTAAAAACGCTTATTGTTTATCGACAGTGTCACTACCAAGACTTTTACTATATTATTCTTGGTTGGATACAGGTCATCTGAAATTCACACTTCTTTAAAACAAATGTATTAGATATAGATGTCCAACACTTGAGACTTTCTTTATCTACCTCTTCTCTGAACTCTGTCCTGCTCTGTTTAATCAAATCCCGAACCCAGCCTAAATTCCCACTCTAAGACATCGTGAGCTCCTGCTCTGGACGATGGTATTAATTGGATGATAGTATCACCGAAGTGATAATGTTATACGGATGGCTTTTCTCCCAGACGATGATCTATATGTTATTGCACAGATTTTCATTTTTGCCTTCACTTGTGTGACTTATATCAATCTTTTCGTAAAAAACAATTTTAGAGTTTTTATTTATTTATATAGAGTTTTACTTAAAACTGTAAAATTGGGACTATTTTGACTTAAAATTAAATTTATGGTATAAAGATAATGTGTGACATTTTGCATTGTAAAAGGGATCAGGGCAAGCAGTTATCTTACAACCTTAATGTACTTTCTGCCCATGCTAAATTAAATCTGTTATTTCTCATTATTTTGCCTCATTTGGGATACAAAATAGCGGTACTCAACATTTTCTCAATATTTGTTGAGAACTGACTGCATATGAGGGCGTATGCCAGGTGCCCCTGCACTGGCTATGCCCACCAGTACAATGTTGCACGCAAGTGGTGATTACAATTCTTGCTCACAAGCCCGGTGGGCAATCATTCCAATTTTGCTATAAAATGTAACATCTGCTGATTTTTTAACCTATTATTTAACAAACTAAAGATGTTAACTTCTATTCTGAATTTTCTCAGAGTTCTTATCATAAGTGGGTTATAACTTTTGTCAATGTTTTTTGCATCCATTGAATTGATTGTAACTTTTTTTCTTTATTCTGTAATACAGTCATGCACCACATAACGATGTTTTGGTCAACGAGGGCCTGCGTATGCTACGGTGGTCCCATGAGATTATACCATATAGCCTAGGTGTGTGGTAGTTTTCAGTAAGTACGCTCTATGCTGTTTGCATAACGATGAAATTGCACAATGACACATTTCTCAGAATGTATCCCAGAAGGTAAGTGACGCTTGACTGTATAATGAATTACCGTGATTTGTTTTCAAATGCCAAATCACTGTTCCTTTCATACAATGAACTAAGTGGGTTGTGATGTACTATCCCTTTGTATAACATCGAACTTGATTTTCTAATATTTTGTTTGGAGTTTTTGCACCTATGTTCATGAGAGAGAGATTAGTTTGTAATTTTCATCGCTTGTAATGTTCTTTTAAGCTTTATTGGGAAATCTTCCTTCGTTTTTAAATTACCTGGTACAGGTATATAAGATTAGTGTTATCTCTTCCTTCAACGTTTGGAAAAATTCTCCCCTGGAATCACCTGAAGCCATGGATGGGTAAACTGAGCCCTAGCAGGTAGTAAAATCACATGTCCAAAGTCACCTAGAAAGTTAATGGACAAATTAAAACAAAAGCCTATGTTTCTGGGCTTCCAGTTGAGTGCTCAGTCTGGTTCTCATTTTAGTGCTATTTTATTATGCTATCTATAATAATCAAAATTTGTTCTGGAAAAAAGATACCACTCTGGGTGTCTTAAGAAAAACGTAAGTTAATATATGGTATTAGGCTTACATATTTGTTGATAGTC